TCTCACTCGGGGCGGCTGTGCGCTCCCATTCCAGATGCAACACAGATTTGGCGGTGGGCCTCCTTGTCGATTCAGTGGCAGCTAGATCCGTCGATTCGGGCAATGGCGGGAGGCAGCAGTCGATTCAAAGTGGGGATGGAGGAAAGCGGGGGCTGCGGTGCCAGTGGGGGTGTGAGCAAGGGGGCTGCGGGGTTGCGATGGGTGGCCAAGCGTGGATGAGTGTGAGCGGGGGAGATTTTTTTTTTTGCTGAGAAATGGATGTGACCACTCATATTTGCGGCGCAGCTGATGCACCGCTAATTTTTTTAGGAGTTAGACTGGGTGATGGTTGGGCTAGGTACATTTTAACGCTAAATTTTTGAGGAGTTGTACCCTTTTGAGGGTTCAACTAGAGTTGCCCTAACGTTGTGGTGGCTCCTAGCTCTATCAACTTTATTGTTTCTTATTAATAAGGACATCTCTGATTCACATGATTCTCAAAACGCATGAATAGAAAAAACATAGCAATAGATTATCATGTGTTGATGATAAAACTATAGTAATTTAGACAGGGTGTTTGACAGCGCAGAAAAAACAAAAGAATCCTACCATGAGGTTTGAATGGATGATTTTCTTTTCATAATAGAGTTGTAACAAATGAATCATATGACATTTCTAAGTTTTCTGATCATGCGAATAAAACGACTGAGCTGTAGGAAAATTCCAAAGGATTCAACTCCTCTAAGAAAACATAGAATTCTTTTGAATCAAAAGAGCCTTAATGGGGAAGGTTGGTCATTTACACCCACCACGAACGCGTCCATGTTTTTTTTTGACTGAGCAGTAGGAAAATTCTGAAGGATTCAAGTCCTCTAAGAAAACATAGAATTCTTTTGAATCAAAAGAGCCTTAATGGGGAAGGTTGGTCATTTACACCCGCCACGAACGCGTCCATGGTTTTAAAAAGGCGGAAATTATATGATATGGGCCTTCATCCCGTTTAAACTACTTTGCTGTTGATTACGAACCATGTAATGTCAACCATCTCACTACAGTACTCCCTCCGTTCCTAAATATTTGTTTTTTTAGAGATTTGAAATGGACTATCATATACGGATGCATGTAGACATATTTTAGAGTGTAGATTCACTCATTTTGCTTCACTTGTTGAAATCTTTAGAAAGACAAATATTTAAAAACGGGAGAAGTAGATGTTACCACCAAGTGCAATGAAATAAACGGAAAATTACGCTCACCCGTTCGCCTGATTGCTTGATGAAGGGTGGCGTCAGCGCAGGCGGCGACACCTCGCTTGCGCCAAAGAACAATCCTTCGCAGAGGATTGGTGCCAACAGCAGCACGGAGATGACGCACGGCGCGAGCAGCCATTCTCTCCTACAGCGCATCATCTTGTGAAGAGGGGCAGTGGAAGGCAAACTCCAAAGTGACGACGGTGTACGCAGGAAAAGGTCTCTGGTGTCAACTATAGTCAAGTACGTCTCGGTTAGGTCAAAGTTAGGCGGCCGATGGAGCAGGTGAAGCAGGCGTCGCCGTTGCTCCTCAGTGCGCAGGAAAAAGATCGTGACCCTCCTGCATCTCTTCTCTAGATTAATCTTCTTCTCTATATTAAGAGGAGTTGTAGGTTTGCCTCACCTTCTTCCCTGTTTTTTTTTCCTTCCAAGCCTTTCTTTCTTATTTGGTTTCTTCCTTTATTTATTTTTCTTGGATGTCCCCGACGAGCCTCTTGTTGATTTTTCTTTTTGATGATGTTAACGGATGCCGCACAAAGTTAAAAATCAACATAAATATAGTAATCTGGAACAATCTAAATCAAATCGGTACATCTGTGGAGGTGCTCATAGAGCTAGAGTGTGCATGTGTGTGTTCATAGGAATAAGTGTATGTGCATATGTGGAGCGTCTGCTCCTGTACCTGTACCGTGTTCAAAAAACACAATACACCTGTTGATTTTATTGGTAATGCTGCACAAACAAAAACGAACATAATATAGTAACTTAGAATAATCTAAACCAAATCGATACGTTCCCAAACTATATTAAAATCAAACCATACTCAATCAAATCAAACCATACTAAAATCTCATCTAAATGATTTTTTTTTGCATTCCCCTATCTATACTCAAATCAAACCAAATCTTATCAAAATCTCAACTAAAATTAGAACTTTCCGTGTCTTTCCTTGCCCATACTTAAGTTAAATGAAAGCTTACAAAATTCTTCAATATGGTCGATGTAAGGTATATGTTGGATTCTATGACCTCGTTGCAACACACAAATAGTTAGCTAGTGTTAATAATAAGCGGGTTAATTAAAAGTTGGACGCCGATAACTGCCACACGTGTGGCAGAAAAGGAGACGCATCACACGTCTCTAATGCAAATAGATTGCCACGTCATCGCATGCATGCATGCGAGAATCTTTTTGGATTTTCAGTTTTTAAAATGTTTTATCTCTTAAATGAAAAATTCGATTGAAAATCCGTTTTCACCATTAAACCCCTCGTGACGAGATCTTCAAAACTAGATTTCGTATTGATATATTTCGGCGAATTTTTTTTTGGTTAAAAGTTGCCATGTCTATTGCACATGAATTGCCATATTTACACTGAAGTTGCCAAGATATGTTTCAACTATTTTCTTTTACATTTATAAGTAAATTTTAACGTATTATAAAATGGAGAATTAAGAAACTAGACTTGCCATGCACCATAAACTAAAATTGCCATGATACATGCACTTAAAATTGCCATGATTCAATAAAAAATATTTTCATGGTCAAAGTACAAGAATTGCCATCATCAAAAAACTAAAATTGCCATGATCTACAAACTAAAATTGCCACATGGCAACTTTAGTTTAAGCACTATGGCAACTATAGTGTAAACATCATGCAACTTTTGGGCAAAAAAAAATTTGTCGAAACATATCAATATGGGGTCTGGTTTTGAAGATCTCGTCGAGACGGATATAATGGTGAAAACGGATTTTTAGTTCGCTTTTTTATTTAGGAGATAAAACATTTTTAAGCCAAAAACCAAAAATATTTCTGCTGATGTCATCTATTCATACGTGGCAAAATAAATGGTGATGGAGACGTGTGAGCGATCTACAAACGCCCACACGTGTGGGCGTTAGTTCTTCCATTAAAAGTTAGGCCAGTGTTCGAGTGGTGTAACCGTTGTCTTGCCATGAATCTACCGCCAGTGGAAGACTAATATACTAGCTAGATCTATATCTACGGGATAAATTCAATGAAACGAGCTTACATGATGAGTGTAAATCAGGGGTTGTTAGTTAACATCACAAGGGGTTAGTTTCAAAGGGTGTGTTGGATAGATTTAGGACAGTATAACCTCACGTAATCCCTGCTCTCCCATGCACCCACACTTCATAGCTGTCAGATCGTGTCTCCAGATTGGGTTTTGGCCGTTAATTAATTGCTGCCTAATCGCGTGTTTTCTTTGCGAACGGGCTGACTGTCCTAGAAGGTAGCTACTCGAGTAGAAAAATATGAGTTATCTGGCCATATGCACCCGCAGGCAGCCGGTCTAGCGTCGGGTAAGCCCAGTCCATCTGGTCCTCCCTTTTCTCTCACAATCGAGACACCATGTTGCGCCACCGCCCCACCAGGCCGCCACCACCAGATCACGTTGTTCATCCCCTCCCGCCACAGCATGGTCCGATCACCGTCGTCCCCCCTCCTACGGCTCCGCGGCTCCCAATCCGGCGACGACTTCCACGTCTCGCGGCGGCCACCCACCATAGTGGTTCCTTGTCACTTTGCTCCTGGTCCAACCCCGTCCGCCATTCCGGCTACATCTGTGATGACTCAGAGGGACCACCGACTGATGCGCTTCGAGACCTTCCAGAGGTGCTTATGTTAAATCTTGTAAGAACTTAAAGGTGGCTAAGCTAGGGTGCCTCCTATGCGTTTCTTGGGTAGGAGCACTTTCCTGAGTGACACGTGCCCCCCGGTTTATCCCCTGGTTGGGCCCAGTTTTTCTACGGGTTTTCTAATCTGGTTTGGTTTGGTAAGACCACCTTCATAGAATTATGAACTTTGTTCAAAGATGTGGTATAGATTTATTGGAATCGCCCTCAAATGATAACAACTTACGGCATTACAAAACTTAGTCTATTTTGTGACGGCACACTGTGACACGTAAAACCATTTGTCGTCACCAAAAATGGTTTGGTGATGTTTTTCAGCCATCACCCCGGTCGACACAGAAACGCCGTCGAAAATAAGTCTTTGACGGTACAACCTTTTCTTTCACGCAAGATCATCTTTTCCGTGACGAACCTGATTTTATCGCTGAAAGCTATCTTCTATGAAGGCCAAATTGTCACTGTATATGACCCGCCCTTCCTTCATTGCAGTTTTCGGTGATGATATACTGGTCATTAATAACCAACCCACATGTTTAACTAGCCAATGTTTCTGACATACGGCCCAGAAGATGCCGATGCGCAACTTACAGCTGGGCATGGCCAAGGTTTTAACAGTGACCGTGGCCATCAATAACAAACAGATTTGACCGATCAAAGATCCTGACATGTGAGCTCACTGGATGCTAACGTGGCTGGTTACATATGGGTCCGAAAGCTGGTGAACCTGATTTAGTCGGTAATTTTTACCTTATTAGTGTGTGGAACCTGGAATTGCAAGCAATAACTAGCCTATTAATAGTTGACCGATAAAATCGATTAATCGCCTGATTTCTAATTAATCTCTAATCCTGAGCTGACCAAAACACTAAAAATAAGCTATATCCTCAACCAAAGTTCCACAATGAAGAAGACCACCATCATAGCTGCGACATGCTATTATTAGAGCTCCCCAAAAGGGGTTGCGACATGCTGTTATTAGAGCTCCCCAAAAGGGGCTGCGACATGCTGTTATTAGAGCCGTTGTGCAATTGTCTTAAGAAAAAACTTAACGTTCCATCCGGGTCCTGTAGATTATTTTCCATAGAAGCAGTTTCTCGTCTTTTTCCTCTTAAGAGCTGCAATTTCTTCGTGCAACTTTGTTTATAGCTCTGATGACCTGCAAGTGCACATGTCTATTGTAGCACTTCCATGACAAGTAAGTTTCGAGTCCTACAGGGAGCGAATAGGATGGTACCACAAACCCAACAACTACGTTGTCACTTAATGTAGTTCCGTACGCACCCAAACCGGAATTTGAAAATAGTCTATTTTAGTAGGTTGCTAGGAAGATAGATAACAAGGAGTGTTTACCAAACTACAAACGGAAAATTAAAGGCAGAAAACAAAGGGGACTATACTATAGAAAACAATGCATAAGTAGTAAACTTTCTTGAGGGATCTAGAGTCATCACCACAAGTATGATGCTGACAACACATGCAGAAGCATAACTCTATAATCGTATCACTATTCTACTTGTATATGATCTTGCGTGGGCGGAGCCAACAAAGTATGCATCTCCATTCCGGTTATTGCGTGACTCGTGCCACCACCGCGTGTCCCACTCCAGTTACCACAACAATGATTAAGGGGAGTGGTCTCCCTGTGGAAACAACATCAAGTTCTAGGGTTCTCCACTAGTCCTTATTGCATTGACTAGGGACGAAGGAAGTTAGGCCCTGTCACTACCTACCTCCTCAACCAGCCTGCTCACCAACACAAATCACCTCAAGTTCATAAGCGATTAATGTTGTGTGGGGTCCCTTCACAACACCATGACACAATTAACGAAATACATATAGAGTCAGACCACTTATTCAATAACTAAGTACTAATTACACAAGGGTTCATCCAAATTCTCACGGACTAATACAACTACTCAATATTGGGAGAGAGAGAGAGAGGGAGAGAGAGAGAGAGAAAGTTACAAGCCGACATGGAACAGGTGGAGGAGAGGAGCATGTCGGCGGCGATGGTGATGGTGGCAGCGCCGACGGTTTATATAATGATGGTTCGGTTTAAGCTTGGGGAGGCTGATGAGTGTAATTTTTATGCTCATCACATCGTTGTTTAAACCTCCATGTCTTCGAAAATCCGATAAAATCACTCCAATATTGCCACTAATGACTAATGAATGCGAGAGATCACAAAATCCTCTCTTTATTTTGTTTCCACACAAAAAGAGGCCATACGATAAAATCATCAATTAGAAGGAAAGAAGCAAAAGAAAAAAGAAAATAAATTTTAGGCACAACAAGTGAAATATAAAAGAAGATAATATGTGGTACGAGCGCACCCGCTCATACCAGCGCTTGTAACAGGTGTCAGCGGCTCCGTGGCATCCAACTCAACCACTTTTGGAAAGGAGTCAATGCAAATTCGTACAAGATCATCGTCGAAAACCTCCATCACCGCAACAAAAATCCGTTGTCCAACCCTAGCCACCGCCATTTCCCATCTCA